TTTGGTCTCTATTCTGTTTTCCATTTCTGAGTGCACAAAGTACTAGGAGAATAAAAATAATATTTAATTCATAAAAAAGCTAATATAAAAGGGGAATTAGATTTTCTAGAATGTCCATTAAGCATCTAGTGACAATCTCGTTAGATTGTGAACAATGAACATTATTTTGATCATTTTTAAAGATAAAAATAACTAAAAGTTTTAAGATCTTAGGTTGTACATTTATTTTAAAAACACAAACATAGACATTAAAATGCTATGTGGGAATCGACCAGCAATCACAGTACATTGTTTTCAATAAAAGTGGATTGTTTTCAATAAAACTGGGTCACCTCATGACCAGATTTAGCACTTAGCTACAACTACAGAAAGACAATCCAATCCAATAACCTTGACAAGGACTACAGACTTTTCTGTAGGCATCTTTATTCATCGCTTCTTGTCAATAAAGCTTCATTCTGCTCAATTTTGTTCTCTCTTTTCAAATGACAAAATGCTAAAAGCCCTACTCTTTCTTCTCATCTTAATATATGGGATCCCTAGAGTCTCCCCAACACACACACTCTCACACCCAGGGAAAGTACACATTCTTTAAAGAAAACTCATTTCCAGCTTCCCTCCCTCTCTAATGTGCATCTCTGTGTACCAGATTGGAGAAAATTTGAAATGATAATTTAAAAATCTTTCTAAAATTTTACTATAGTAAATGATAAAGGTGGAGTAATCACTCACACTAATTATGTAATGTTTTGTCCCTATCAAATGTTCAAAATAGAAATAAAAATCATGCAGCATGTTATAGCACATCTTCAGTTATATTTGTTATTTTCCTCACATTATTAAATATTTTTCAACAATGTCTTTTTTTAGAAAGACTATCATTTGGCATTTTTGTTGTTTCTAATCATCTTTGATATTAAGATGCCTCAATGGGTTCATCATTTTTAAAACATTTTTTAATAACTATGATTTCTTAGGAAAAATTATTTGAAATAAATTTGGAATTCAAAATGCGTGAATATTGGGACTATGGTTGTGACTCAGAGGTGCAGCACTCGCCTGGCATGCACTGGGTTCAATCCTCAGTACCACATAAAAATTTAAAAAAAAATATGAAGGTATGTGTCCACCTATAACTAAAAGTAAATATTTAAAAATACATGAATATTTAAGACAATTCATATCTATTTCTAACATTTCTTCTGGAAAATTTATTGGTCTGGATTTTGTATCAAAGTGTTTTTGCCTCTTGTTTCTTGCATCTTATTTTTCCAAGGCATTAATTTGATGGTGTATTAACATAGTTCATTTTACAGTTTATAGAAGGTTTTTTTAAGTCAGGTCTCAACCTAGACTATAGGCAATAAGTTTTTACTTTTTATTTTATTGATTCTTAATACAAAAGTGTCTACAACTGAGTCAGTTAAGTCATTTCAACAGTTACAGAAAGCATCCATACTCTTTAGTATTTCTCATTGCTTTCTTTATGTTTTTTTTCCTCCTTTTTTCATGGAATGTTTTTCAGTTTCTTTTTTTTTTTTTAGGAACCACCCTAGGCCCTGTAATTCGGATATTGAGTACTTCTGCTTTTTACTCTTGGAAAGTAACCATGGAGGTCTAGGCCACGTAATTATTGCTAATTTTGCCAAAGCAGATATTTGGATAGTGCCAATGCGAGTTTCAGTTAGGAGTGAGTCATTTAGTTACTGCATCTGCATCTCTATGCACATTTTATTCACTGCCACATGCTTTGCTATCTCTAGGGAGGCACTAATTCTTTTTTACAGCAAAACATAGGGCCCAAGGGGAAAAAAAATTGCCTAATAGGTTTGGAGAAAAAACAATAGACATAACAATGAAGTTTCAAAAGGTTATGGATATTGTTCGGAAACTGTGAACTTACAGTAAGTGCCAGAAAATGGCAGCAATTCTACTTTGGCTGAGGATCTTATCTAAGCTATTTTTATATTTATTCTATGCTAAGTAGAGAAACTTAGGCAACTCTTACCACTTTTTCAGCAATGGCCTTGACAACGTGTGCATCCACAAAGTTGTAAAATCAGAGTTTAAAACAGACTAACCTGGTTTTAAAACACATTCACAGCAAAGACCTACCTCTTGAAGATAATGCAATTCTGGTGAAAATTCAGGAATCTGGACAAACAGTTCCCTATACTTCTGAACAGAGCATTAGCATAAATAAAAGTTGATAAAAGAATTTAATTTTTTTTATTCTAGAGTCACCTTTGTTATCAGCTTCAACCCAAAAACTTTCACCATGTACTTTATAATTATTTTGCAGGCCAGTAATAAGAAACATAATCTTCACTAGGTAAATATCAATTAGCAAATAGCTTCAAAATAAGACAAAAATGTTCACCCACATGCATCTGAACTATTTTCTTTTCAGTGTTTTGCCAACTTAATCCGCTAATAATGGGGAGTGTGATCTAAAATGACCTTACTACCAAAAGCACTATACAGATTTAATGCAATTCCAATCAAAATCCCAATGACATTCCTCAAAGAAATAGAAAAAGCAGTCATGAAAATCATCTGGAAAAATAAGAGACCCAGAATAGCTAAAGCAATCCTTAGCAAGAAGAATTAAGCAGGTGGCATCACTATACCAAACTATACTACAGAGCAATAGTAACAAAAACAGCATGGTACTGGCACCAAAATAGACTTGTAGACCAATGGTGCAGAATAGAAGACACAGAGATAAACACACATAAATACAGTTGTCTCATATTAGACAAATGTGCCAACAACTTATATTGGAGAAAAGATAGCCTCTTCAACAAATAGTGCTGGGAAAACTGTAAATCCATATACAGTAAAATGAAATTAAGTCCCTATATCTCACCATGCACAAAACTCAACTCAAAGTGGACTAAGAACCTAGGAATTAGGGCGGGGGTTGTGGCTCAGCGGTAGAGCACTCACCTCGCATGTGCAAGACCCTGGGTTCCTCAGTACCACATAAAAATAAATAAGTGAAATAAAGGTATTGTGTACAACTACAACTAAAAAAAATAAATATTAAAAAAGAACCTAGGAATTAAACCAGAGACACTGCATCTAATAGAAGAAAAAGTAGACCCAAATCTTCATCATGACAGATTAGGTCCCGACTTCCTTAATAAGACTCCTATAGCACAAGAAATAAAATAAATAATTAATAAATGGGATGGATTCAAACTGAAAAGCTTCTTCTCTGCAGAAGAAACAATCAATGAGGTGAACAGAGAGTCTACAGAATGGGAGCAAATTTTTACCACACACACATCAGATAGAGCACGAATCTCTAGGACTTATACAGAACTAAAAAAATCTTAACACCAAAATAATAATAATAATAACAACAACAACAACCAAATCAATAAATGGGCCAAAAAACTAAACAGACACTTCTTAGAAGATGATATACAATCAATCAACAAATAAATGAAAAAATTTTCAACATCTCTAGCAATTAGAGAAATGCAAATCAAAACTACTCTAAGATATCATTTCACTCCAATCAGAATGACAGCTATTAAGAATTCAAACAACAATAAGTGGTGGCGAGGAGTGGGGGAAAAGCTACACTCATACATTGCTGGTGGGACTGCAAATTGGTGCAGCCAATCTGGAAAGCAGTATGGCGATTCCTTGGGAAACTGGAAATGGAACCACCATTTGACCCAGCTATCACACTCCTCGGTTTATACCAAAAGGACTTAAAAATAGCATATTACAGTGACACAGCCACATCAATGTTTATAGCAACACAATTTACAATAGCTAAATTATGGAACCAACCTAGAAACCCTTCAGTAGATGAATGGATAAAGAAAATGTGGAATATATACACAACGGAATACTTACTAAGCACTGAAAGAGAAAAAAATCAGGGCATTTGCAGGTAAATGGATGGAGCTAGAGAATATTATGCTAATGAAGTAAGCCAATTCCAAAAAACCAAAGGCTGATTATTTTCCCTGATTTGAGGATGCTGATCCATAATGGGGATGTTGGAGGAGCATGGGACTGAATGGAGGAATTTTAGATAGGACAAAAAGAAGGGAGGGGAAGGGAGGAGGTATGGGGTAAGGAAGGTGGTGGAATGAGATGGACATCATTACCCTAAGTATATGTATGAATACACAAATGGTGTGACTCTACTTTGTGTACCACCAGAATATTTGTGCTCTATATGTGTACTATGAATTGAAATGCATTCTGCTGTCATGTATAAAAAATTAGAATGAGTAAATAAATAATTTTTAAATGAATTTTAAAAATTTAACGATAGGAAAAACTTTAGCCAAATATGTGTCTTCCAAGCAAAAAAAAAAAAAAAAGACTTTATATAAAAAGCAGACAATAGATCAGAGGGGTGTGGGGAGTCAATGAAAACCAACCTGCTTGTATTGGAAGAAAGCAGCTTCCTGGCCAGGCAAGCATTTCATCCATGTACTGCTCAGCAGTAATATCATTCATCACCATTGATTCACTTTGCTGACTCAGGGAAGTTCATAGTTAGGTTACTACAGTGGTAATGTAATGAACTGTGGAGTTTATTTTAATGACAGAATTAATTTTAACAGCTTTATAAATTACTTCAGTTCCATATTTATAGAACCATTAAGGTTACGAAGGGGTCAGACATATTTTCAGTTATACTTCACTGCATTTATAAAAGAAATTATATGTTATGTCTATATGAGTGAATTAACAAATTCCAATATCTCCAAAATCAGCTCTATTCTGAATCGTAACTCATGAGTCCACCCATCCGCCGCCAACTCCCAGCGGCAACTACTAGATATTTTTACACTTAACTGAGGAATTCACTCAAGCACCTATTTTCTCCTGGGAATCAACAAATTGTGAAAAATCTAAACACCTTAAAAAGCAAAATGCTGATTAGCCAAAACTATAACCAAGCTTCTTTGTAAATGCCTCCATTATTTTTCTTTTTCATCCATCATGTCTTCTTAATTTAAGCACAGGTTGTGACCAGCCAGAGAAGATGGGAATTACAGAAGTAGAGTTAGGAAAAACAAGTCCCAAATGGCTGTTCTCTCCAATATGTAAAGGGTAAGTGTTATACTTAAAAGCATGGAAAGCAAACTTGGATATTCAGGAGGGTATAGGAAAAGAGGTATGCTCTCTGATACCTGGATATTAAAATACTTGTGATTTTATGTTCTTACCCTTCAGCTCATGTTTGAATTTAACTGAGATATTGTCTTAAGAATAATTAGCTCTATGAGTATGGATTCTAGGAAAACCAAAAAAGAGGCTATCAAACATATTTCAGTAAGCAGCAAATGAACCTCACTTGCAACCATAAATCATTAATCTTTAATCACTAGCCAATTTCTCAATAAGCTCATTGGCATGGAAACTCTAAGATACTCAAAGGATAGTTCTCGCAGATCTGGCATGCATGGTTGGCTTGTGTGTTTAATTACTGTTTATGCATCGGCAGGATCCAGGCTTTTGTATGTAATAAATAGAATGCTGTCATAGTGTCCAGATGGCTTTAGATGCAAGGCCCAGGGAGCATGTTTGAAGATTGTAGAACTGATTTACTACCCTCTGCTTGCATCAGTTCAATTGTAAAAATCATGCTAATAGCATGCTTATCAAGAATCTGAATGATGGAAATAATTGTATTGCTATGTTGATTATTTTGAAAGACATTTATATTTAACTTTATCAGAAACTCTACACTGGTGTTAAATTCATGCCTTTGTTTTACATAATATTCCTTTATGTTTGAAAGAGAAAGAATACTTGTCAAAGGTCCAAACACTACTCCATAAAATGCATCTTTTAAAATAGGGGGCTGGAGTTGTAGCTCAGTGGTAGTATGCTTGCCTAGCAGCAGGAGGCTCTAGGTTTGATCCCCAGCACCACAAAAAGTACATAAAATAAATTAATTAATTTAATTAGAATGAAGAACAGTGGTTTTCTAATAACTTAAAACAATCCCTTTGCAAAGTAAAGAAATTCTCATTAGTACAATAGTGGTCTTACTAGCATATTGTAGGAGTTAGGAAAGTATAATCACTCAATCACAATTGCTCCCATCCTTTGGCTTATTGTAACTTCTTCACATTATACCTTTTTTTTTTTTTTACTGGCAGAACTACAAAATAAAAATACACATATTTAAATAAAGTATTTACATATTGATAAATATATCTTTTTCTCATATGAATTTTGGTTTATCTTATTTATTTAGTTAGTTAGTTAGTTTTGGGGGAATTCAGATTGTGAGGGAAAAAAAAGAAATGTGTCACATTAGATTGAGTAGAGAGAGGTGATGGGAGGAGAGGGGAGGGGAAGGGGGGATATGAAGGGCAGCAGAACAAAATAGACACTAGTATTGCTGTATGTATAAACGTGGCTGTATAACCAATGTGATTCTGCAACCTGTACACTTGGAAAAATGAGAAATTATACCCCATTCAATTCAAATGTAAAAAAATATGTATTTCAAAATTAAGATTTAAATAAACATTTTGAAAATGAAAAAAATATTCTAATCTTGCTGAAAATAGAAGAGTTTTTCAACATATGAACAAAGTAAAATTTTTCAGTATTATTCTAACTGGCTTGAATTGTCAGTTTTGCAGCCACTCTTACCAAGACTGGAAGGAAAAGCAATTCATAAAAATTTTAAATTCTATTTTATATGTCCAGGTTGAAGGATTAAGTTAGAATAAATTGAATAAAGAAGATAGCTGTTCTTTGACTTCAACACCTAGGGGAACATTTCTTTCCAGAAGTTTAGAATCAATCCTTTAAAAACATTTGCTGAAAAACACCTATAAGAAAGAAAATTGTTATAAAGCTGACCTTTGACAGAAATTTTGAGCTGATGTCAAAATTTTGATCTGTCACCCCTTCCAGGCAGAAATTAACATTCCTGATAAAGTGATAAACTTTTAAGACTGATATCAATGATTTAAGAGTCAATCTGGAAAACCCCCCACTTGAATCTTGCTCTTGAGAGGAGCCTAACCAGTTTTACAAAGATATTGTGATCTCTAACCAATGTGCTTTTTTTGGACAAAGAAGAATACAACTCAATCATTATTATCCAACTACTCTTTTTTACCTATAAAATGTCTCTAGCAAGGAATAACTTTATGATTCAGCAGATTTGAAATATAACTTTAAAAGTGCTGCTAACTGTTCATCTGATAAATTGCATTTAACACCTACCAGTTATTCTTACATAAAGACCAATGAAAACCATGGATTAACTGAGAAGTCACACATTTGAATGAAAAAAAAATGAAACAGTGAAACAGATTTACATAAATATGGTCATTTATTTTATAACAAAAGTAACCCTGTAACATATTGGGTAAAGCATTATCATTAATAATAACAAGTCAATGCATATGCATAAGAAAACTAGAGAATCTTGATTCTGACCCCACCACACACACACACACACACACACACACACACACACACATCAATTCTAAGGATTGCTTTGGCTATTTTGGGTCCCTTATTTATCCAGATGAATTTCATGGTTGCTTTTTCTATTTCTATGAGGAATGTCATTTGGATCTTGATTGGAATTGCATCAAATCTGTATAGTGCTTTTGGTAGTATGGTCATTTTGATAATATTAATTCTGCCTATCCAAGAACAGGGATACCTTTTCATTTTCTAAGGTCTTCTTTAATTTCTTTCTTTAACATTCTGAAATTTTCATTGTAAAAGTCTTTCACCTCTTTTGTTAAGTTGATTCCCAAGTATTTTATTTTTGAGACAATTGTAAATGGGGTAGTTTTCCTAGTTTCTCTTTCAGAGGATTTGTCACTAATGTACAGAAATGCCTTTGATTTATGGGTGTTGATTTTATATCCTGCTACTTTGCAGAATTCATTTATTAGTTCTAGAAGTTTTCTGGTGGAAGTTTTTGGATCCTCTGGTATAGAATCATGTCATTGGCAAGTAGTGCTAGTTTGACTTCTTCTTTTCATATCCATTTCTTTTGTCTGTCTAATTGCTCTGGATAGAATTTCAAGAACTATCTTAAATAGAAGTAGTGAAAAAGAGCATCCCTGTCTTGTTCCAGTTTTCAGAGGGAATGCCTTCAATTTTTCTCCATTTAGAATGATGTTGGCCTGGGGCTTTGCATAGATAGCTTTTATGATGTTGAGATATGTTTCTACTGCAGGTGGGATTGCAAATTGGTACAACCAATATGGAAAGCAGTATGGAGATTCCTTGGAAAACTTGGAAGAGAATCACCATTTGACCCTGCTATCCCACTCCTTGGTTTATATCCAAAGGACTTAGAAACAGCCTACTGCAGTAACACAGCCACATCAATGTTTATAGCAACACAATTCACAATAGCAGATGCCCTTCAGTAGATTAATGGATAAAAAAAATGTGGTATATATACACAATGGAATATTACTCAGCATTAAAAGAGAATAAAGTCATGGCATTTGCAGGTAAATGGACGCAGTTAGAGAAAATTATGCCAAATGAAGTAAGCCAATCCCAAAAAACCCAAGGCTGAATATTTTCTCTGATATAAAGGTGCTGATCCATAGTGGGGGTGGTGGGTGGAGCATGGGAGGAATGAAGGAACTTTGTATAGGGCAAAGGGGAGGATGGGGAAGGGAGGGAGTATTGGGGGAGGAAATATGCTGGAAGGAGATGGACATCATTACTCTAAGTATATGTATGAAGACAGGAATGGTGTGACTCTACTTTGTGTATAACCAGAGAAATGAAAAATTTTGTTCTATATGTGTACTATGAATTGTTATGCATTCAGCTATCATGTATAACAAATTAGAATAATTTTTTTAAAGTAACCAAAAAAATCAATTCTATATGACTGAACCACACCAACACAGGCAATCAATATTAGTGTAGTAATGTATTTACAAAAAATAAGAAAAAGAATTTTCCTATAGGCATTCTTTGTAAATACTTCAAGTTGTAAACAACCCAAAGTCTATAAACAGCAAAAAAGACAAATAAATTTAATACATTCATATAATGACTATGACATTACAATGTAAATTAATCACAAATGCAGTGTATGCAAATTAATTTCACAAATATGTTGTTAAACATTTAATTGTTATTAAAATGTATACAAATATCATATGATTCAGTTATATGTTAAAAATGGGCAAAGTTAATCTATTGTGATGAAATACATGTGGGTAGTGGGTTGATACGGGGCTAGCAGTGACTTGAAGGGAAGAGAGGGGTGATAGGGATATTGGTAATGTTCTGAAACTTGATTTAGATATTTGTTATATGTGTGTCTTCATTTTGTGAAATTTCATCATTTTTATCTGTAGCTGTGTATATGGTTACTTAAATAAAAATTTTACTATAAAATAAGTAAACATTCATGATAATTTATACATATATGCCAAAACTTTGTAAAGATTGACTTAGTCCCTAGCATCCATGCCTCCATGCTATCTATCTGCCCTCCATTACTTGATTTGCCCACATCTTCCAGGCCAACCCTCTCTTATTACTTGTTCCCACAGGTCCCCCCTCTGTTTTGTGAACATCATGTCTTACACCATTTAAAACTGTGACTTTCCTTTAGTTAAGGGAATAAAATGTATACCATTTTGATAGAATGACTAACCCTCTATTACTGTGTAGAATAGAGGATGTACACAAAATTTATACCAGACAGGAAATTTTATGCTGCCAAAAGCAGAATCAAAGGAATATTCACCATTTTTATAACAACACAATCCCTACTCAATGCAGCAAGAATGTTCTTTCAAACCCAACCACTTAGTGCTTAGAAAAGAAGGTAAGGGTAAAAAAAAAAAAAAGGAAAGAACAAATTATATCTTTTACTGAAGATTGAATTTCAGATTGATATAAACAAAAGAAATGAAAATCTTGATTACTACTGAATATTAAGAGCATGGCTTTGTGAAGTGACAAAATAGAAGATGTACCTATTTCCCAGTAAAGGAACACACAATATTCTAAACTAGAATATAAATAGTCCTTATAAAGGTATTAGCATTTTGTATTATTTACAGTTACTTCTCCTCTGCTAGTAGTTTAAATAAGACAATGAAAATAACTCTCAGGAAACTTTATTTGAAAGTAAGTATGCCTTTTTAAAGTTTTTATTTGTGCATTGTAATTTTACATAACAGTGGGAATTCGCAATTTGAGCCATTTGCATATATGCACATGACAGAATTTACTCAGTCTTCTTTTCTGGTACCTTCTCTTTCTCTCCCCTCTTTGATTCCTCTAATCCACTTGCCCTACTCTGCTGAACTCCCTTCTATTGAGAGTAGGCAATATAGGAAAGACTATAAATTATATTTTTTCCTGGAAAAACTTGGAACAGAATTTGTATATCAAAAAAATTTAAGTAAATTGTTTTTAGTTTTAGCCATATTATTGTTTTGAATTTTTGATATTAATAATTTAACCATGCTGGCACATTCTGTGACACACACTGAACACATTTTCTTGGATATTTGCTGAATAAGGCAAGAATAAATATAGGCTGGAAAGATTTTAACATATCAGATGATTCCATCTACATTTGGGTACCTGCTGTGGTAGAACTTTTGTAATGGTGCCAGTTTAAGGTCCTCAGATGTTTCATCGCCTTTTGAGTACATATTCCATGTATTTGCAGAGTCATGTAAGAGAGCATCTTAATTATGATAACACAAGGCAAGGATACAGCTCTTGACCTGAGGAAAAATGTAAAGTCTGCTTGTTTTTGTAGTCTTCCTCTTCCAATAATCCCTTGTGACATGTTTTTGGTCATGGAAATGAAGCAGAAAATTTTGCACAGACTCCTGAAAAGGGATAAGAATTCCACTTTTTCCCTTTAGAGTTCAATGATATTGGAATCTCTATGAAATAGTCCTAGCAGCTTTCAATCAAGAGGACAAAAGTACTTTGGAAAACTCTTTATCATCATACTTACAAGTTGGAATATGTACTTACCTTGTAATTTACAATTCTACTTCTTGTTTATATTCAAGTAGGTATTAGTTCTGTGTCAATCAAAATTTTCATGCTAAAATATTCATATCAATGTAATTCATAATATCTCTTGTAGAAACTACCCAAATGACTTTTTAAAAATCTATTTATAGCAGTGAGAAAGTTAATTGTTTTCAAGATATAGTTGAGCTTCACAAAATAAATAATATTAGGGGGTAGATACTAAACAAGAAAAGACACATACTGTAATGTGTCTTTGTATTTAAATTTCAAAAAGAGTTATAATTATATTTTTACAAGTCAGTATATAGTAACCCTTACTTAGGGTTAATGGCTCATAGGTGTCACAGTAGGGATTTCTGTTGTGCTAGTGATGTTCCATTTGTTGGTACAGGTTACACGGAAATGTACAATTTGTAAAAATTCATTAAACTATATATTTAAATCTATACTTTTCTTTATATGTGTTATATTTCAATAAAAAATTTACAGTACATCTTTTGACCTTATTAAAGTCCGTCAAATATGTTATGCCAGTTTTCTACACATTTTTAAGATCTAAATTTGGTAGAAATGATACAATTTGAAGAGCATAAGTGCAGATTATCTTAATATATGTTCACCTAAATCATATGTGTCTATGTATATATTATATATGTTAAATATATATCTATAAAATTTTATGAAGTAAACATCTATATTTATCTTCAGAACATCAGTACTAATTCCTCATTTTTCATTAGCTAGTAATGGAAATAATTATTCTGTGAGTAAATTTCTTAGCGTACTATAATACTGAGCTTGGTTCACCTATTTTTTAAATAAGATGCACGATTAATACTTTAAAGTTTTAAATAATGTTTGATCATAAAAACAGAAATACATTTTAAAAATATTTTTAATTGTAGTAGACCCCATACCTTTATTTTATTTATTTATTTTTATGTGGTGCTAAGGATTGAACCCAGTGCCCCACATGTGCTAGAGAAGCGCTCTACTGCTGAGGTGCAGCCCCAGCCCAGAAATGCATTTTTAATTAAGGGTTCACCTATTCCATCCTTCCCATCTACATTATTCTGTACAAGTGCTTTGTTCTGTGGAGAAATGTCTGGTTGTGAGGCTGGCATTCCCCAGAATCTTTGCAGCTACACAGCTGAAACAGAATGTGTGGGATGAATAGAGCCCCCAAAGAATTTGAGGACAAAAAATTAAAGCATTATTGCTAACAGCAAATCTCTATGGCCTTGATTGCATTTTCTATAGTTAACTAAAACTTGAATTTAAAACTAACCTCTAAGTGAAAATCACAGCACTAACAATAAAATAAATTTCAAGGTAATTGGACTGAGAAAATGTATTTTTACCCTTGTTTAATATTTGCATGTAAGAATAACATAAATAGCCCTATAAAATAGGTTTATTATTCCCATTTGTTAGTAAGGACATTAAGACAAGTAATGGTTAAATGTCATGTAAAAGGTGGCTAGAATGTGAAGGAATTTGAACACAAAATAATGTCTGGTTTCCGAGTCCATGCTGTTAGTCATCATGCTGTACTGCTTGCAATAAAATAAAAAAGCCCCACAAAAAAAGGCAAATGTGTTACAGACACTTTGGAGTCCCAAAATGGCATTTCTGATCAGTTAATTAAAACAGTTGCTGAAACAACCCAATAGAGGAATTTTGCATATCTTAATACAGTAGGAAAAAAATATGCTTTTTAAAAACTCTTTGGAAAGGGACATCAACAACATTCCACAACTGCTTTTGAAAGACAATACTCAAAGGAGTTGTCCTGGAATAGGGAACCCCAGTGTTAGAGCTCAGTGATCTATAGGCAAAAAGAAAACAGAAAACTTCAACTTTATTTTGAAATTTGATGAATTGAAAAAAATACAAAAATTAAATTGAGTAAATGCACTGATTCCATGTGCCAGACACATTTTAATTTTTATCTGTGCTCAGTGCTTTCCCTCAAGCCATGACAGTTTCTACTTGAGGTGCTGCCACTCTACTCTCCTCCCTTTTTTGTACTCTCTTCTCATCCATGGTGGTTCATCAGTGAGAAGGTATTGCAGAATGCAATGTAACAGGGTCTGGACTATAAAATGCAAAAATAGAAAGTTTTCAATCTTCCAGATACGCTCAAACTATAAAGTCAAATCTGATAATTAACAATTCTAATACAGTTTAATAATTCTTATTTTAATATAACAGAAGGAAGATGGCAGGCCTAATTTACCATCTCAGAAATGATTAGAAGAGCAAGCATGAAAACTCCAGATACCGCCTTCTATGAAATTGATATGTTTTGAACCACAGGAACAATAAGGGTTGAAAATCAGTGTTACAAGACATTGAAAAGATACTCATTGCTGCTGATATCAGATAATTCTAGTAGAGAACCCTTCTCTAGGAAATTGGCACACTTGCAGGCTAACAATTCTTTGTTTAGAACAAATAAAATCATTGCAAATGCTGACAATAGGAATCTCCCCAAAACCAATGGAGAAGTCACATTTGTAGAAAGAGGAAAGTAGCTGAAGCTCAGTGAAGAAAACCATCCTGTGGGCATACCTATGACTTTCAAGTTCTGTGGGTAGTGAAGAGTGACATCAGAAATATCCTCTCTTTCTCTCTATCCCACACATACACACAGCACCATACACACACACACACAATACACACCTGTTTCACAAGAAGTTCTCGCAAGCCAGAAACTTGGCTCTATTTTCTTAGTCCTAGAAGAACCTAGAGAAAGGAAAGCAATAATTACAAAGAAACCAAGGAAAATATATGCTCCATAATGAAAAGAGAAAGGAAACAGGAAAGGGTGATGGCAAGCAAGATAAAAAACCCCTGGTTTCATCCCCAGTTCAAAAAAAAAAAAAAAAAAAAGACATTAGCCAAAGAAAACTTTTGATATGGTAAATAAAATGCATAAATGGTATTTGTTTAATGGTAAATAAAAACCATGCGTATACACAGGGTCATGAATACACAACATTATACAGAAATTACAATTATGAAATAAAGTAGAGATATAAGAAGTCAACAAAAATGTGGCAAGACAACAGAACTAAATAAACTTCATGATTTTCTCCCCAGATGGTAGATTTGGGGAGAAATGGAATCAAAAAATCAAACCAAAAGAAAGGGACAAACACTATGAACTACCTCACATTGGGCTAGGAAGATGGGGCAGGTCTTCAAAGAAGAGAAAATGTTTGATAAAAACATTAAGAAATGAATGTGAAGACATTTGCATAAGATATGTGAAGACAATCAAAGGAGGGAAAGAAGTCCAGTGGCAAGTGGTGTGTACAAAGTCTTAAGAGTGTTTTCAGTGCATTAACAAGGGGTTTCTGTTTCTGAAAAGGTTCTGAGGGAAAGAGAAATGGTGAATAAAACTGGAAATTCAAGCAAACATCAAATTCTGGAGGGTCTTTTATGTCATGCTACTGAGTGTAACATGATGTCAATAGAAAAGGAGATCCACTCACTGGTGGTTAAATCAGAGAGAAAGAGCACTCTATCAAAAGGAAGGGAGGTGAATAGATTAGGATCCAATAATATGGACAAATAAAATAGTCTGTGGAAATTCCTTTCAGTAATCCACATAAAATATGACATTCATATTGGTAGACAATGACTGTGCAGATAGAAGAGCATGGGAAAAATGAAAATATATTTAGTAAGAAAGATGCACAAACCTGCTTGGTCAATTGAATGTGTCATGTAATAATAAAGTTTCCAAATTTCTTGACTGATTAGATGAGACAGTAACAATCAGTATAACACTATCCATTAGGACAGCTTCGATGGAAGGATCCAAAGGAAGAGATAATAACTGAGTATATTATAATAAATCAAAATAAGAACACACTATTTTATAATACCTTTTTATATCAAAAAGATACTTGACATTTTTGGTTGTTAAATAAGAACACCATCTATATGTTTTCACATCATATTTTATAAAGAATTTTAATCTAGCAGGATTTAAAATGACTTAAAGTATTAAAATGATCATGGGCTCTATCTCTCTGTAGCAGTAAATGCTCAGAGGAGAATTTGCACCAAAATTACATAATTTTGAAAAGTCAATCTTTTGGGAAATCAACCAAAATACTGAAGTCAGGTTAGAGACTTGGTTAGGGAACATTAATAGCACTCTCAAGAAAAACATCACTTTTCTTCTTTTCTTACTAAAGTAATGTGTTCTTTCTTACTTTATAATAACAGCAGTCCCACATCGAAGCAAATGCTTTTCTACTCATTTCAATCTTGTCATTTTGCTTTCACATTCCCTTCAACTCATATGATGGATACAAACCAGCCTTTCTGTTATATGCTAGAAATTTAAGGATACATGAAACACCACTTACAAAATGCTGTGAAATGTGAGCCCCAAGCAAAGTCGACAGTATGATGGGAAATGCAAAGGAAGTCTAATGAGAAGCTGTATTCACAAGGTCCCCTCCCGATGCTCTGCATTAAATGGTACCACATTTACTTGTTTACCTGCAGTTTTTTTTACTACTACACAATAAACGAAGCAGTCTGCATTTCCCTTAGTTTGAGATTTTCTGTAAACATTCTTCTTGGCTTTGCTTTTGTAATTTATTCTTCACATTCGGTTTGAGTTCCACTTTTAATCTTGATGATGTTTCTTCCTGTGTAGCTATGAAAGATAGCTTCTGAACAGATACATATTTCTGACACGTACAACTGGCTGCACAAAAAGAAAGATTTAAGGTAGAGGGAATTAGATGGTTGCTTTAAAATATATCATTTAAACTAAATGAAAGACATAATATATACTAAAGAAAATTGTCCTTAATTACACAGAGACCCATGTTGGTGGGTTTTCAATTTTGTCATTCAATTTTTTGTATGTCCGCAGCATACAAAGTTAAATGAGGAAATACCTGCATTAGAGAAGTTTATAATGTGATTTCATGGAAGGCAGGGCTCTGGGCAGAATTGTGTCCCCTCCAAATGAACATGTTGAATCCCCAGTGCTCAGTGTGATTACATTTGGAGATAGGGCTTTATAGGAGTAACAAAGGTTGAATGAGGTCAAGAGGGTGGAGTCCTGCCCGGATAAAATTAGTGTCCTTAGATGAAGAAACACAAGACAACCTAATTCTCTCTCACCTCTATCACATAAGGACACAACAAGAGGGCAACCATCTGCCAACCAGAAAGAGAGTCTTCACCAGTACCTATCCATGCTCTGATCTTGGACTTGTGGCCGCCAGAACTACAAGAAAATAAATTTCTGTTGTATAAGATACTCAGTGTATGGCATTTTGTTATAGCATCCCAAGGCAAGACAGTGTGTTATCACTAACTACCATTCAGGCAGAGTGCAATATATACCCTCAAAGTACTGAATATATATGAATCCATTATTCTGACTTGAGAATAGAGAGAGAAAAAAGATGTCTCTGAGTGAATATTAACAGATGAGTCATTATTCTATGAAAAAAAATATTCTAATGATTAACTTGAAAAAAGGCACACAAAATGAGGAGTATATAGGAATTACGGGGGCTCGTGGTAACTAGAGTTTAAGGTATGTAGAAAAAAATCAGGAGCAGAATTAATAGAGGGTGTGTAACATAAAATTAGTGTGGAAGGGTAGAGGTTGGGATTTTGAGGGGATAAATATTTAGCAGTCCTCTTTTACCTTTCAATTTAGAATCAATTTTAAAATAATATAAAATAAGGCAGATAAAGTAAAGCATACCAGACTTTAGGTAAACAAGTTTTATCTAGTACTGGCCTACTGACCAAGTCATAAGTAGCACTAGATCAGGGAATTTCTCCCCATGTAGAAGACTGAGACTGTATTAATCATAAAACTTGGGAAAGTAGGAAAGAATATATATCTTCTACAAACAGCTCTCAGAAGGGAAATGAGGTGGACAGTCATTTAGGGTTTTTTTTTTTTTTTTTCTGAACACACCATCTAAACAGGGCTCTAGTCTTTGCCAGGATAGGAGACACTGAAGAAGCAAACAGAGGCCAGGAATTTTAAATAGTCAACCTACCCAACCTGCTGTTTCTGGATAAGAGGCATTTGAGGTAGTCCTTCTGCCTGATACTTCTGGTATTTGCCACAAATGCAACTTAATGGTCAGGTCCTATTTGAGGAACACGTCTCCTCATAAACTTCCTAATTTACATTTGCCCTCTAAGCCCTGTGTTTATGGCATTTCCACACCATAAACAGATGTCGAAAAGTGAGAGAGGTTAAACTATCTTCAGGGAGCATTTTTATTTTTATGCCAGCCTTTAAATCACTTTTTCTGCCTATGGAATTTCTTAGCCCTACATAGTTCTAAAGGTAATTTTGCCTCTCTCTTCCCAATCTTTTCACTAAAGAATCACCCTCACCTGGTATAATATTGCTTTGTTGCATGACAATCCAGTGCCCCTGGGATCCTGGGGATACTTAACCTAGCACTTCTTAAAACCTTCCTTTTCCTGGGCTTTTGTGCATTAGTACCATTGCTTCCTGCTACTAATATGTTGGGAATGAAATCATTGTATACTACTTGTTCACTCCTTTCCTGAAGTCCCAACACACTACAGTTTTGCTGAGTCTCAGTTTTGCTGAGACTACTGCTTGATGTCAATTTAGCTAAGATTAGAACAACCCCTAACCTGTGGTTATAGCTGCCATAAGCCAAACTGACACACATAAAATCAAAATCACAGTGATCAAAGCCCAAAAATGATTTTTCCAGTTCATATCAGTTAAAAGTTAATTAATGCTACTGTAAAAATCAGCCTCAGTGCATAATAGAGAGTGCAATGAGCTGTCAAAATTCTAACCACAAATGCCTAGTCCATATAAACCTTATTATTCAATTATTATTTTGTCCCCCAGATATCACCTTTGTTTACTCCTCAAGATTACAGCCCAACAAAGAGATGTTAGGGGTTTAAGGAGGTTCATGTGCAATACTCCTTTTTTCATCACTTTCTTTCTAAACTAAAGAAAAAGAAAAATTATTGAGAAAATTACTGGGAGTGAATTATGTGCAGCCACGTGAACTTCCTAACACCAATGCCCAGGATTTGAAAAATGTATACCCAGCCAGTTGTCAAGAGCTGGGATGATCTAAAGAGGACTGAATTGTCAGGTATAATAGTCAATCAAGATGAATCAAAATGAAGTTAGTATTCAGGCCTTTAGTCTCTGGCTCTGATAGCATAAGCAAGAGGCAGAACAGGAAGCCACACCACTCCCCAGAATGTCACATTCTTCCATCAGAAACATGCCAAGGAAGGACCAAGTGGATAAGCACAGATCATCTCTCTGCCCAAGGAGCTCAGCTCATTGTATGTACCCAGGGAGGAGGACAGGGACAAGAGAAAGGGATACAAGTGGGAAAGTACTGAGTACTGAATCAGGGTGGAGAAAAATGTCTTCAAGTCCCCACACCTCACAGCCCCTCTAATGTGGTCTCAACAGAGGACCTAAAAAGGCCTGGGCCTAATGATGAAACTTTTATTTATTTATTTATTTATTTTACTTAATTCATTTTAGATATGCCTAACATTGGGATTCATCAATACAATTATACAAGCATGGCAAAAAATGTGCTCCAATTCAGTCCCCAGTACTACCCTTTCTCTATCCTTCTCCATACTTTACTTATCTTTCTTCAACTTGTTTATATATGTCTTAAATTAGTGCATTATAGATATACATGAAGGTGAAATTCACAGTGGTGTATCCATATAGGAACATAGGAAAGGTTGGCTAGATTCATTATACTATTTCTCTCTTTTCCCATCCCTTCTCCTTTCCTTTCAGTCTGCTTTC